AACGGAATTGGTCAATTGGTTTTTGAACGGTAGGCTCGTGAAAATGGTGTTTTTTTACGAATTTTTTATGAAGAAAGAACAAATCGCGGTGCAAAAAATGACCATGCCACGAGGAAATCTCCTGGACATATTTCTTGGGTTAGGGCTTTAAACTTTAAAACGTGTTAAGAAGACCCTCCATAGTTGTACAAAATTGAATTTGCAATGGATTTGGTCAATTATTTATTAACCGGTAGGCTCGTGAAAATGATGTATTTTTCACGTAATATAATATGGAGAAAGAACAAATCGCGGTGCAAATATGACCATGCCACGCGGAAATCTCCTGGACATATTACTTGGCTCAGGTCTTTAAAACTTAAAACATGTAAAAAAAAAACCTCCATACTTGTACAAAATTAAATTTGCAACGGAATTGGTAAATTGATTTTTGAACGGTAGGCTTGTGAAAATGATGTTTTTTTTTACGAAATTTATATAGAAAAGGAACAAATCGCGGTGCAAAAAATGACCATGCCACGCGGAAATCTCCTGGACATATTACTTGGGTTAGGTCTTTAAAACTTAAAACATGTAAAGAAAGCCCTCCATAGTCGTACAAAATTAAATTCTAACTGAATTGGTCAATTGGTTTTTGAACGATATGCTCGTGAAAATGATGTTTTTTTTACGAAAATTATATGTAGAAAGAACAAATCGCGGTGCAAAAAATGATTATGCGACGCGGAAATCTCCTGGACATATTACTTGAGTTAGGGCTTTTAACCTTAAAACCAGTTAAGTAAACCTTCAGAAGTTGTTCAAAATTGAATTTGCAACGGAACTGGTCAATTATTTATTGAACGGTAGGCTCGTGAAAATGATGTTTTTTTCTTTCACGAAATTTATGTGGAGAAAGAACAAATCGCGGTGCAAAAAATGAACATGCCACGCGGAAATCTCCTGGACATATCACTTAGGTTAGGGCTTTAAAAGTTAAGGTATTAGGACCCTAATGGGCACTATCAGGAACTAAAAAATTGACATCATAAGTCAGATGTATACCTTAAAGTACACCTTTATGCAAAATTTAAACAAAGTTTACCGTACGGAAATCAAGTTATGGCCTTTTTTCTGAACTCAAGCTAGGATGTTATGAGGGCCCTTTTTTAGAAAGTAAGAACCTTTAAATAATCTGCAATAACATTCTAATGAAAAATGTTTTCCCATTAATTTTTGGTAAGAAACAAATAGTACCATTCAGCTAACAATCCAAATAAGCAAAATTATGCTTCTACTTAAAATTTATGATATCTGTATAAAAATGTTACCCTACCCCACCCATTTTTACCACATGTCTGACCATTTTTCTACTTAGGAATTTAAAAAATTATTAAAATTTACCCAAATGAGTGCCTGTTTTCAAAGTTTTCCTAAATTTTTCAAAAAGTATATTGGTTGATCTTGTAAAATATGAAATACTTTTACCGTCTAGTTTTGATTATATTACACTTTGACAATATCAGGTACCATATTTATTACTATATTTAGCATAATTTAGCCAATAAAAACCTATATAAATTAAAAAATCAAAATTAAACACTTTTTTCTTTCCAAATGGGACATGAGAGATACATAAATAATGTTAAAAGAAAAATAGAAAGAAAAAAAAAGTTGACCCTTCTGGGGATTGAACCCATGGCCCTCATTTTCAATGTAGTTAACAGTAGTTCTAGCCTATTTGAATACTCTTCAAAGCGGAGGTAATGCATTAGGGTGCTAATACCTTAAATCATTTAAAGTAGACCCTCCATAGTTGTACAAAATCAAATTTGCAACGGAATTGGTCAATTGGTTTTTGAACGGTAGGCTCGTGAAAATGATGTTTTTTTACGAAATTTTAATGAAGAAAGAACAAATCGCGGTGCAGAAAATGACCATGCCAATCGGACATCTCCTGGACATATTACTTGGGTTAGGGCTTTGTATTGTTGTACAAAATTGAATTTGTAACGGAATTGGTCAATAATTAATTGAACGGTAGGCTCGTAATATGATGTTTTTTTACGAAATTTATGTGGAGCAAGAACAAATCGCGGTGCAAAAAATGACCATGCCACGCGGAAATCTCCTGGACATATAACTTTGGTTAGGGCTTAAAACTTTTAGATATGTAAAGTAGACCCTCCATAGTTGTACAAAATTAAATTTGCAACGGAATTGGTCAATTGGTTTTTGAACGGAAGGCTTGTGAAAATGATGATTTTGACACGAAATTTACGTTGAGAAGGAACAAATCGCGGTGCAAAAAATGACCATGCCACGCGGAAATCTCCTGGACATATTACTTGGGTTAGGGCTTTAAAACTTTAAACATGTAAAGAAAACCCTCCTTAGTTGTACAAAATTAAATCTGCAACGGAATTGGTCAATTGGTTTTTGAACGGAAGGCTTGTGAAAATGATGATTTTGACACGAAATTTATATAGAAAAAGAACAAATCGCGGTGCAAAAAATGACCATGCCACGCGGAAATCTCCTGGACATATAACTTGGGTAAGGGCTTTAAACCTTCAAACATGTAAAGAAGACCTTCCATAGTTGTACAAAATTAAATTTGCAACAGAATTGGTCAGTTGGTTTTTGCATGAACGGAAGGCTCGTGACGATGATGTTTTTTTACGAAATTTATATAGAAAAAGAACAAATCGCTGTGCAAAAAAATGACCATGCCACGCGGAAATCTCCTGGACATATTACTTGGGTTTAGGGCTTTAAAACGTAGAGCATGTCAGACCCTCCATATTTGTACAAAATTAAGCTTGCAACGGAATTGATCAAATGGTTTTTCAACCGTAGGCTCGTGAATATGATGTTTTTTTCCGAAATTTACATAAAGATCGAAAAATTCGCCGGTGCAAAAAATGACCATGCCACGCGGAAATCTCCTGGACATATTACTTGGGTAAGGGTTTTAGCCCATATCATTTTCAAAGAAGACCCTCCAAAGTTGTACAAAATCGAGTTTGCAACAATATTGGTCGAATTGTTTTTCAATAGTTGTCACGAGAAATTGATTTGGTTTTTTGTTTTTTTACGAAATTTCTTAAGACTTTGTATAAATAAAGAACAAAAAGGCAGGTCCAAAAAATAGCGACTGTTTAACGTGGAGTAATTGCTTTTTTTTCTTTTTTTGTAGTTAAATCTCTATGCCTTTAAGCCTTATATAGCAGTGAAGATGTTCCTTTTACTTAATACAATCTACAAGATTTTTTTTTCGAACATGTATACACTTTATATATAGAAAGAACAATTCGCCGGAAAATGTCCTAGTCATGCGAAAATCTCCTTGACATGTCCCTTAAGTCAGGGCTTTAAAACTTAAAACATGTAAAGTAGACCCCCATAGTTGTACAAAATTAAATTTGCAACGGAATTGATCAAATGGTTTTTGAACCGTAGGCTCGTGAATATGGTGTTTCTTTCGAAATTTACATAGATGTAGAAAAAATCGCCGGTGTAAAAAATGACCATGCCATGCGGAAATATCCTGGACATGTTCCTTGGGTAAGGGCTTTAAACCTTTAAACATGTAAAGTAGACCCTCCAATGTTGTACAAAATTAAGTATGCAACGGAATTGGTCAAATTGTTTTTGAATGGTAGGCTCGTTAAAATGATTTTTTTACGAAATTTATATATAGAGAGAAAGAACGAACCACCGGTGCAAAAAATGGCCAAGCCATGAGGAAATCTCCTGGACAAGTTCCTTGGGTTAAAGCCTTAAAACTTAAAACATGTAAAAAAGACCCTCATAGTTGTACAAAATTGAATTTGCAACGGGATTGGTCAAATGGTTTTTGAACGGTAGGCTCGTGAATATGATGTATTTACGAAATTTATATCGAGAAAGAACAAATACTTGGTGCAAAAAATGGCCAAGCCATGAGGAAATCTCCTGGACATGTTCCTTGGGTAAGGGCTTTAAAACTTAAAGCATGTAAAGAAGACCCTCCATAGTTGTACAAAATTACATTTGCAACGGATTTGGTCTATTGGTTTTTGAACCACTTGGTCATTGCTGCGGAAGGATGCTGCCAGATTTGCTGACTCTACTTTAATCGTGTCAGGTGTACAGCAAGAAGGGGGGATGTCACGGTTCATTGATTGGTGTCAGTGTGAGTGTGAGCCGGGTCTCATACGGGTATTTTTGCAATCTTGAACACGAGCACAGGAGTCTGCACTGCTCAAGGACAAACTACCGACCCATTACCGGAGATATTTGGAAAATAAAAATGAAATGATTGATTACTTTTTAAATTTTACTTAAATCATTCAATAAAATAGAAATGGAATTAAAGTTACAAAAACTAATATCGTGTTCATAGGAATAAGAACATTATCAGTCAAAGAAGAAAGTAAATAAACACAATTAATTTGACCTTTGAAACCGAGAATAGGTGTCCCAATTGAGACGAATATTAAAGTAAAGGTCTCATGTAGATAATAATAATTAATTGATTTAATCTTGTTCAATTAATTTGAACTTTGATACACGCATAGTTCCTAACATGACATATACATGCATATTGAATATTAAAATATTTCACGCCCGCTAAATTACGCTTTCAATTTTATCTCATTAAATGGCATGGACTAAATATCACTAAATATATTCTTACAAAGCAGGTTCAAATTGCAATACAAATGACAAGGCACAATATGAGAATAGTAAATTTATGGAAAAAATATATCAACTCGAAGAGTAGTACGAATAAGACAAAGAGACATGGAGACAAACAGATATCATGACAGTGTAAGAGCTATTGTATCCGTATCAAAAATGAATATGTTGCTGTCGATTAAGGATTTAAGTATATATTTTATACATAATAAACTAAAGCAAACAATCTTGGTATACATAGGTCAAACAGATTGATGACTCCTAAGTTCAACTTTTTAAACTCTGACATAATTATATAGAACCATATCTAAAACGGTCTTTATGTAAGGCCTTATCTATATAAACCAATCTAACAAATTGTGGTGTCTTTAATTTTTCTACACAAAACCAAATGGATATTATTAGTATATTAGTGTTGGTAACAGTTGCCCTGATTAATGTCGTCACATGTGACGATGGAATATCCAATAGTGAAACGTATACAGAAAATATCATTCCAGATGATGTAAAGAAATATGTATCTAGTAAAATAGAAGACTTAACAAATACATATGAAACACGAATTCGCGCTCTTGATGATACAGTCAGAAAGCTTCAACAAAAATCTCGCAAACAAGGGAAAATAGTTAAAAAGCTTGAAAAGGAAAATTACAAGCTACAGAAATCTATTTCGCAATTGGAATATCAAGTTAGACATGATGTCAATAATACAATTTGCGCTTCTGCTTCTAGATCAAACGGCAATACTAAGTCTCGGGAAAAAGGTAAGTAATATAGTATTTTATAATAACAAACCATTAGACAACCGTCGCTTAGTTTTGCATGATAGATTTAAACAAATAGTCTCATAAACAGAGCATGTATAATATCTAGCTGTTTCATTGACATGCAGTTGTAGACATAAACTTAAACATTTTAATTTACTACAAGATATTTATGCAATAATTATCAGATTATCAAGATAAATATATATATTGCAGGATACATTGGCAGGGAGAGCAGAAGTAGCACCAACGGTCGGGTTGCATTCTACGCATACAAGTCTACACCAACGCCTCATCTTGGTGAAGGTCAAGGCATCGTATTTGATCACCTGGCAACGAATATAGGCAATGCCTTTAACGTACATAACGGTATTTTCGTCGCTCCCGTTACGGGAGTTTATGTTTTTGGTGTGACACTTGGACATTATAGTACTTTTGTTCAGTCGGACAACGGTGATGGAAACTTAGTTGTGAACGGTGTAATTGTAGCAGGCTTATTTATGAGCAATGATCAGTCATCCCAGATGGTTGTTGTCAAGCTCATGATTGGTGACAATGTCGCAGTGCTTAACAGAGACGCCGATGAAGGGATAGATGGCAAAGCTTACAGCTCATTCTGTGGATTTCTGTTGTATGAATATACGATAATGTAGTAATATACGATAATGTAGTAACAACAACTGTTGGTTAATACAATAAATATAATCAAATATATTGATGTTATGGATTATTTCGAAGGGGGGGGGGGGGTTCAGTTGTAAGAATTTAATCAGGATGATTTAAGTTGAAAGCATTTTAACTTGCGTTTTGTCACTATCAGTTATAGATATTTGTTCCACTCTTTTTGATAATAAAATAGGGCGTTCTTAGAAAATGTTACTTCACAACTTGTTTGGAAAGGTCCTTAATATGGAAATATTAAAAGTGCGGTTTTTTTTGTTAGAGACAGAATCACACATTTACAACAAAATGTATTACAATATAAAAGGTATACCGGTGTATGCATTGCTTATACACAATAACTGAACTATTTCTTTTTTTGTGACAATTTGGGCATGAATTATGCTTCTGTTATATACCAACTAGTATTCCTCTCTGTCAAACCTCCTGGTTTACCTTTATTACCACTAGGTGACACTGAACGTCTCATTTAACTCAGCATTAGTTTATTAAACTACTACATACATCAACATGATAATTATGTACATGTGCGTTCTTCCTTAATTAGGGTCCTTACGCCCGGATGATTCTAAAGATAGCAATGGACCCGGTCATTAACCATCGGCATTTAAAGAGTAGGCTAATTTAAGATGTGGTGCGATGAAAAGATAAGTAGGTGGGTCGTGGTTGGATGGTCGGGTGGGTTTTTGTCGGTCGACAGATAGGCAGGTAAG